TCAGTGTCTATTTTATTTTATTTTATGTTAATGTTTTAAAGATAGCTCCGTTTAAAAATTTTTTTTTATAAATTACTGTTTACGTTCAATATGATTTTGTATTAGCTTCAGCTATACAGCATGGTGGTTAGATAGCATATATACTTTATAGAGTGTTCTCCCAGTATTTCAAGTACCCACCTTGTACTATGCATAGTTATTACAACATTATTGATTACATTTCCTATGCTGTACATTTTTTATTATTTATTTATTTATTTATTTATTTACTTGTTTATTTTTTTTAAATACTCACTCAAGGATATTCTTCCATTGATTTTCAGATAGAGTAGGAGGGAGGGAGGGAGAGAGAGAGGAAAGCATTGATGTGAGAGACACATCAATAGGTTGCCTCCTGCACGACCCCAACCAGGGCTGGGGATCGAAGCACAACTGAGGTATGTGCCCTTGACTACTCTGTGGTCCACGGGCTGATGCTCTAACTGCTGAGCTAAACCAGGCAGGGCTGCTGTACTTTTTTTTTTTTTTTTAATTATATTTATTATTGAAGGTATTACTGATGTCCCTCCTTTTTTCCTTCATTGACCTCCTCCTTCTGGCTCCCACCCCACCTGCCTTCACTGCACTCTGTCTGTGTCGATTGCTTGTGCATATGTGCATATAAGTCCTTTGGTTTAGCTCTTTCCGCCCCATCTCCCCCCTTCCCCCTGAGGTGTGTCAGGCTGTGTCTTTATTTTTGTGTGAGTTTGGAAGATTGTGTCTTTCAAGGAATTTGTACATTTTATCTATGTTATCAAATTGATTAGCATACATAGAGTTGTTCCTTTTAATATCCATGAGATGTGTTTGATTTTTAAGAGTTTGAATAGTTAACATGTAATACTTCCTTAAGAAATATTTTTAAACATATTGTCTTTTTATAATAGAGTCATAAAGAAAATTATTACATATGTTTTTGTAAATTATTTTTAAAATTTATTTTTATGGAGTTTTGAAAGTGTTTATTCATTAACTATAAGATCAATAGAGCATTAGTAAATTGGTAATGATACCAGCACAATGTAAATATTGTAGCAAAATATAACCTCTCCTATTTGTGACTTATGAGCTATAGAAGATGAATCTTAGTTACAACTAGTATCTATTAAGTATATACACAAGATTTAAAAAAACATGTTTTTATTGATTTTTTAAAATCCTCACCTGAGAATATTTTTCCATTTATTTTTTAATGGGCAGGGGGAGAGGGAGGGGGGGTAGAAACATCAATGTGAAAGAGACACAGGGCCTGGGACTAAACCGCAACCGAGGTATGTGCCCTTGACGGAATCAAACCTGAGACTCTTTGGTCCGTGGGCTGACACTCTAATCACTGAGCCAAACTGGACAGGGCTATTTTAATTGATTTTTTAGAGAGAAAAGAAGGGAGAGAGAGAGAGAGAGAAACGTTGATGTGTGAGAGAAACATCAGTCAGCTGTCTCCTGCACACCCCTGCGAGGATCGAGCCTGCAACCCAGGCATGTGCCCTGACCGGGAATTGAACTGGGACCTCTCTGTCCATGGGATGATGCTGAGTCCACTGAGCCACACTGGCTGGGCTACACATAAAATGTTTTTGAATAAATATAGTTACCATGCTATATTGTATATTTATATTGTTTTATATTACACCATACTTCCTATCCTGCCTCTAATGCCTGATACTGGTTTATAGCCATATTAATAAATATTTTTTCAAGGAATGAATGAACCCAATTCACTAACAAGCTTACCCTCTTTGAAAGATAAATAAAAAAATCATGTGTTTAGTTTAAAATTTTGTTTTAATAAACAAAGTAATAAAAATTTCAAATTGATGTAAATAATTTATGATATTAGTTTTAAATTTCTTAAAGACAAACAAGACTCAAATACATCCAACGTAAGGAAGTCTTTTACTTTCTCCAATGTAAGATCAATTATCTACTAAAACACAAGTTTTTTCCTCCCCTGTATACAGTTCAAGTATAGTCCCATCTTGACATTTAAAATATTAGCTAAGAGTTATGATATTAAACTGAAGAATTAAAGTTTTAATATTTATTGTAATTTCTAGATTTCAATGGGCTATAGACATTGCATCCTGCTTCTCTGATATTTCATTAGTATCATTTATTCACAAATATTTAAAACCACGTGGTGAGATTGGCTCGTTGATAAAGCAGACCTGTATCAGCAAGCAAAGCCAACTTCAAGAACAATTTTTCTGGGCTGGAAATGGGTAGAAAATGAGGACTAATATGACCCTAAAGGAGAATGACCCCTAGAGGGGACATAAATGGCATGCATAGAATAAATACTCTTCAGTCTACCGAACTCTTGATACTCAGATAGTTGGCAATTCATTCTGGTAAGAGAAAATAGCATATGACATTTTAATTATTGGGATTTTACTTGAATCCAAACAATTAAAATTTAAAGAGAAGGTATTGGCAACATTAAAAACATCTGCATATTAGCTCAAATGTTAATATTTGTATGGAGAATAAGGTATCATTTTGGTATTAATTGATGAACCAACACCGAGATTCTTGTTATCATAGTATCAGTTTGCAGGTCCTTGAACTGACAATGCTTTCTTAGGGAAGTAAGAATTTTCATAACATACAAATATTTCTGAATAAACTAACCACTTATAGAATTAACTTCCTCTTAATCATTCCTCCCTGCTTAGCACCACTATCTTCCATCTATTGTGCCAACATCTTACTGACTCAGTGGTTTTCTGATATAGAAAATATTATTCCAGTTGTTCATGAAATTATCTTGAAAAAGACACAATAGACTTTACTAAATTGATGAATGTGATGTTCAAGAACTGCTCGAAGGAAATGTAAAGTCCTATTGATAGAGTTCAAACAATTAAAAAGTGAATAATAGCCCTGGCTGGTTTGGCTCAGCGGTTAGAGTGTTGGCCCAGGGTCCGAAGGGTTGTGGGTTCTATTCTTGGTCAAGGGAATGTACTTGGGTTGCAGGTTCAATCCCTGGTCCCAGTCGGGGTCATGCAGGAGGCAAGCAATTGATGTATCTCTCTCACATCTCTCTCTCCCTCCCTTTCATTCTATCTAAAAATAAATGGAAAAATATTCTTGAATGAGGATTAACAACAACAACAAAAAGTGAATAATAAAACAAGAAGAATAAAAACAAATTCAATAGATAATAATTGTAAAATAAGAATTAAGAAAGACCATAGGAAAATTGATAAAGACTTTGGATATTTTACAGAATTACCCCATTACTATTATTCTTTGAAATTCAAAAGTTAAGTAAAGGTTACATCTAGTTAGTATACTTTATTCTTCTGTAAAATGATACCAAAGGAAACACTTGACTCTTGATTCATTTTTTTTGCTTTATAAAAGTAGTATACAATTGTGATTATAACTAAAATTTGTCTAAATATAAAATAAATATTTATTTTCATAATTTTTGTTTTTATTTTTCCAAACAACATTCTAAACAAATCTCTTTTTTAATGAAACATTGGCCAATTTTTATTTACTTATTTATTTATTTTATTTATTCATTTTTTTTTATATCCTCACCTGAGGATATTTTTCCATTGATTTTCAGATAGAGTGGGAGGGACAGAGAGAGAGAGAGAGAGAGAAACATCAATGTGAGAGAGACACATCAACTGGTTGCCTCCGGCACGACCCCAACCAGGGCCAGGGATGGAATCACAACTGAGGTACGTGCCCTTGACCAGAATGAAACCTGCAACTCTTTGGTCCATGAGCCAACACTCTAACCACTGAGCCAAACAGGCCAGGGCTGGTCAATGTTTTAACAGGGTTCATTTTATAACATTTTGGTTCCTATAATCAGTAACATCTAAATGAAGCCTGTGTGTAATCTATTCTGCCCAGTGATCATTCCTGCCATTTCAGACAACAGCTTGTGCAGTTCAGGCTTATTGTTTTAAGAGAAGGAGACCAGAGCACAATGTGAATCTCACATTTTCTCCCCATAAACATACCTTTAAAAATCCAGACAGTGAGAATAGATTAAGAGAAAGCCTTATTTCTGAGAATTGTTCCAGGATCAAAATTTATTCCATAAAAGCAGATTTACTTGGGAAGCATTTACAATGATGTAAGAGCTAGGTATCACCCTAGAAATAAGGATTTATTGAATTGGGGGGTAGGAGTCAGAGGGGAATAATTGGTACTTGCTGAGATGGGACTTTATGACATAAATTCCCAGGGGGTATCCTGGGAATGAGATGGGGAGACAATCAAGTGCTCACAGAAGTTTGGATATCTATGGGAAAAAAGGGCCTTCTGGAGAGGCCCATGAAAACTTAAAAAATTTTGCGTTGTACCAGTACTGTGTGTCATCAGAGGTCAAAAATGGTGTATTTTAACTTGGAAATATAATATTTACTTTTATTTGACACCTTTATTTCTGCTCTACCTCTTTCCTAAGTGCAGTACTATCTCCCCAAACCCTATGAAAACAGCTTCCTCAAAATTCACTTTCTTCAACTTTGTCGCTCATAGTTGTGATTTCCTTTGGTTGAAGGTTCACATGCTGTTTTTATAGCCTTTTGCTTGACTGGAGCGTTCATGCTCCAGGATATTAAAGTGGGATGGCTACAAATGTTAATAAAATTCTTCTTTATATTTGTATCGCCAGTTTTGTTGTTTTTCTTTTAGTCTGACAAATTTTAAATTTTTCATCTTTTTCCAGTTTTATGGTTTTCTTTGGATGCTGATATGATAATCCCCGATGCTGACACATTCCATGAGCTTGGCAACATACTAAGTTGTTTCTTGAATGAATTTAGTTTGGTTCTCATTTTTTGTTATTTTTGAGTTTAGATTTAACACAGTTACTCCTTAGTGTTATTTTTTCCTTTATGTATTGCTGCTTAAATTAATTTTGCTATGATATTTTAAAATATTTTATATACAATTTGTGCATTCTCTGTGTAATACTAGTTAAAGTTTTTTTTCTTCATCAAAATCATTAAGCTATAGTAGATTTCATTGTTCTTCAAACTTTCTTATGATATTTTTCTTCAGTATTTTTCTCAAGACACTTATTATTTTCTTATTTCTCAGGCTATAAATGAAAGGATTTAGTAAGGGCACTACTATTGTAAACAAAATAGCAGCTGGTATATCTTTATCTCCTTCTTCAAGCAAATTTGGTCTAATGTACATGAAAAAAAGAGATCCATAGAATAATGAGACAGACAAAAAATGGGAAGCACAGGTAGAAAAGGCTTTAACCCTTCCCTCTTTGGATTTCATTTTCAAAACAGTAAAAAGAATGTAGAGATAAGATATTAAGACACTACCTATGGTGAAGACTTGAATTGAGCCTGAAAAGACAAACAATACCAGTTCATTGACATAAGGGTCAACACAGGAGAGTCTGTATAAAGGAAGAATATCACAATAAAAGTGGTTGATATGATTAGATCCACAGAACACTAATCTGAATAGAAGCCCTATATGAATCATGGAATGCATATTTCCGGCCACGTAGGCCCCTGTCGTCATCTGAATGCAGAGTTTCTGTGACATCATGGTGTGGTACTGCAGTGGGCTGCATATGGCCACATAGCGATCGTAGGCCATTGCTGCCAGGAGAAAGCAGTCTGCAGTTTCAACAGTGCAAAGAAAATAAAATTGTGCCATACAGTCATAGAGGGAAACCATTCTGTTCTCAGAAAAGAAGGTGCCTAACATCTTAGGAATAATGGCACAGGAGCAACAGGAATCCACAAGCGCAAGGTTGCCCAGAAAGATGTACATTGGTGTGTGAAGACTGTGCTCTTTTGAAATTAATATCATCAGGCCAAGATTCCCCACCATGGTGATCAGATAGGTGGCAAAGAACACCACAAAGAGAAGGGTCTTCAGCTCTGGATGATCTGTAAATCCTGTGAGGATAAACTCATTTTTTATGGTATGGTTTTCTTCAGCCATTCCTGACTTCTCTGTTGAGAAAAAAATCATGGAGAAATGAAGTACTAATTTATAATATGCCTAGTTCAGCCATTTATTGCTTTCTAGCCCAGAAAGACAAGGAGCATCATCCATAATGCTTTCCCATGTCTCATGAATTTTGGTGCATGAGCAGTCCTGAGGAAATATCAATTTTCTGAAGCTATTATCTTTTTAGCTACTTATTTCACATTTTTTCCCCAGAATTTTTCAAGATAAACATCAGATTAGATGCACGTAGATGACTTTTGAGGTCTTGCTAGAAATATTTTTCTATTTGGGTTCTTTTATATGGTTTAGGTAAAGCTGATTCACAATTTAAGTGTTAGCAATTGGTATCCATGTTCCCAATTTTAATGACTGTGTACATCCTGATTAACAATGTTGTCTAAAAGACTGTTTTTATATACCCATGTTAATAGTAGCATTATTCACAGCAGCCAACTGAAATGTCCACTGGATGAATGGTTGGAGAAAATGTGGTATATATATACAAAGGAATATTATTTAGCCATCAAAAGGAATGAAATTCTGATGCGTGTTAAAAGATAGATGAACTTTGGTGACATTATGCTAAGTGAAATAAACTAGACACAATGGATAAATATTGTATGATTTCACTTACATGAATTAAAGTAGTCAAATTCATGGAGACAGAAAGTAAAATGGTGGTTGTTAAAAAGGGAGGGAATGGGGAGTTATTGTTTAATGAGTATGGAGTTTCAGTTTGGGAAGTTGAAAAACTAGAGATGGATAGTGATTATGGTTGCACAATATAAATGTACTTAATGCCCCTGGACTATATACTTAAATATAGTCAAAATGGTAAATTGTGTGTTACATGTATTTTACCACAAGAAAAAAAATTTTTAAAAAAAAGATTACTTTCATTTGCATATTCTTAGCAATTTACTGTCTCCAATGCTAGTTAAGTACATATTTAAAAATAAAATGGTTTGGGGATAAACAAGGGCTATTTACAAGGTACTTATATCGAGGGGTGAGTTGGGGAGAGGGGGAATGATGTGGATGAAAATAGGGAGGAGAGAGACAAAGGAGGTGGAAGAAAAAACAAAAAGACGATATTAATAACTTTCCAGGTTATTTATAATATTTTCTATGCATGCAATATAAAGTTATTAATGTGTGCATGTGCATAAAGAAACTTAAATACATTTAAATGCTACCAAAAGAATTTGGAGAAATCAAAAGTGTTAAAAAATGGTAAATTCAATTATATGTCAAAAACATGAGTAAACTCAAATTTCAAATATTAAATGGGGAATTATTGAAATAAGTTGATACTCTTTCTATAGTTTATTCTATAAAGAGCTTATACACCTTAGGAACAATTACTAGAAAATAGATGAAGTACAGGAATAGCAAACTGTCAAAGATACAATTTTTTAACAAATTTCAAATGTTTGACTTTATTACTAATTAGAGAGATATTTGAAATAGTTATGAGGGCATATTTATTGTGCCCATCAAAATAGCAAAGAAATGATAATATATAGTCTTCTATAAAACACTAAAAATGGAATCTAATTGCATTCCTAGCAGAAGTATAAATTGGTGTAATATTGGAAAATAAATTTGGTGATAAATTAAGGAAATCCTTATATGTTCATGCCCTATAAACAATAACCAACAGAAAGAAATAATTAGACCCTCAACCAAAGATTTATATATAATAATTAATTTTAATTATTTAATTAATTATAATAATTCATTTATAATACTGAAAAATTCAAAACACCTAAATGATAAACATTATTTTAATAATGTTATTTATTTTTAATAAATATTATGTAACCATTAAAAGTGGTGCTTACTTCGAATATTTATTTAATGTAATGGTAAACTAGACATGTGAAAAAATATATAGTTTTATATACAAAATAATCCTAATTTTCTAAATAAATATTTATATATAAATGTAAAGGAAAAGAAGCACAGAAATACATCAAAATGTAATACTAACTTTCTCTGTGTAATGGAAATTATAGATTACTTTTTTCTTTTTCTTTTTTATCTATTTCATATTCTCTACAATAAGTATTAGTTTTCTAATCAGAAAATAATGTTTTATTTAAATAGATAAAATGACATGCTCTTAGGTCTGCTATGTATACTTGATAATTCTGCAATAATTATTGAGGCTCCAACTAATATTTTCTGCACTCTATAATTCTATAGTAAATAACATGGCATTGGATGTATCGAGGATGTGTCACCCCTGTGGTAATGGTATTTATTCACAGTTATAAATCATAATAGTTTGCTGACAGTCTTGCATATATCCCAAACCATTCAGGAATATAGTCACATCTGTGGTAATGCGTTCTTAAGGCCACTTACCTCTGTGTAAAGCATTAACTCTTAGGTACTGTTTTATTATTTTGAATGTTGTGTTTCCATGGTATTCTAAGATGCTATAATGCTCACATTTATTAAATTTTCAGTCTATTTTTAAAACTTTAACTATCTCTTAGATTTTTCCTTAAAGATGGAGTTCCAATCTATTGGGGAATACTGTATTTCAATCTACTTTTATTTTAGCTTATTCAAGAATCATTTATTCATTGACCTGGCATTTATTAAATGCCTGCTCTGTGCCACATACTTCCTTAGAAGACTTGTTGACCCTTCTAAACATTTCCCCCTTGATAATTTTATGGACATTCACTGACCTTAACTACTCTGTATTCCAGGAACAGAGGAAAACATTTTAGAGAGCTATAGAAAGATCTCTTTCCTTTTGGTTTCCTGAAAATATTACTAACTTTTAAATCTCAGACAATTTGGGACTGATCCTTTAAGGAACAGTATTTTTTAAGGGACATTTGAAATCTATGTAGTATAATTTGAATAATTTTTTAATTAAATGCCTTATAGTTACCAGCTTGAAGTCATATTACATAATAATATTTCCTTCAGTTTTCTTAGTTGATTATAATTAATCAGACAGATATGTTTTACATTGATATTTAATTTTTCTAAAAATTAAAACACTATAAAGCTCCCTAAAATTACTTCAGGAGTTTAAAAGAATGGTTTGAAATTACATTCCTTCCTCATATAATTGTTTTAAGCATAGAGAATGTCCAACACATAAATTTTAAATACCACTTCACTGTAGATGTTAATAACCCATTTCATCTGTTAATTTGTTAATTATATGACAAACATTATTCAAAGAGGTTTCCAAAACATCACTAATGTTTTCTGTTATTACTATAAAAATGTGCTTTTACTTATTTATTTTTGGTAAATTTAGGCTTCTCTGAAAATTCTTGAAATGAATTTTAAGAATTTGACTAGTGCTTACACAATAGACTTTAGGTTAAAGGAAAGAACTTAAGGAACTTTAAAAATGAAAAAAATAAGAATTGTAAAGACAAAAACGTTAAAGATCTTAAAGAAATAAATGTTCTTGGAAGTTAATAAAAATTTTAAATACATACTTTCTCACTTGGACTTCCCTGATAAGAGTTTTATAAAGGCTGGTTGGTTTTCTGATGTTGGTCTTCTAAGTAGACCCAGAAACAAAACTCTGTGTTCTTGATAGTTTTGGATGATACCAACATGTCAATGATAATATTTATGTCATTTGTAGGGAATTGTACAAATATTTTAAATAATTCTAAGGGGATTTACTTGGCATTGTCATCAGACTATAGCCTGAGAGACCTAATCTCTTAAACATTATAAACATACTAAATTGGAATAATTAAATGTACCCTTTGAGACCTAAAGAGTAAGACAAATGCTCATTTCTAAGCAACTGTTAAGGTCATGTTTTGATTTTAATTCATTTGAGTTAATACCATTTATCCTTCTCAGCAACCTGAATATAAAATCCTAAGTGGGAAGAAAAAATTCCCACTAAAGTGATCAGCAAAGTCTATAGAGAAAGTGGGAACTGAGTAGGAGTTGTTGCCTCAGAGGAGAGGTATGATGTGAGCAGCGATCATAAAGTAGCGCCTTTCCCACCTCTTTCTTTTTTTTCTTCTCTTCTTCTTTTTTTTTAAATCCTCACCGGAGGATGTTTTTCCTTTTTTTTGTTTTTTTGTTTTGATAGAGTGGGAGGGGGAAGGAGGGGGAGAGAGAGAGAGAGAGAGAGAGAGAGAGAGAGACAGAGAGAGACAGAGAGACAGAGAAACATCATTGTGAAAGGGACACATTGAGTGGCTGTCACCCGAACGACCAACCAGGGCCGGGGACAAACTGCAACCTAGGTACGTGCCCTTAGCGGGAACCGAACCTGGGTCTCTCTGGACCACAGGCTGACGCGCTAACCACTAAGCAAAACTGGCCAGGGTGTTTTTTTCTTGTATCTGCATCTGAGGATGTGTTTATTGATTTTTAGAGAGGGACAGAGAGAGAGAGAGAGAGAGATCTGTGAGAGAGAAACATCGATTGGTTGCCTTCTGTATGCACCCTGACCAGGGATGGAACTGCAACCTAGCTATGTGCCCTGACAAGAATGGAAGCCAAAAAATTTTGGTGTAGGAAACAATGCTCCAACCTGCTGAACCATCCGGCCGGGGCTTTCACCTCTTTTAAAAGTCATTATACAATTCCTGCAATCTTCTTTATAGTGCCTTTAATAGATACCTTTACATCTCTCTTGCTTCTCAAAAGACTTTTGTCCTCAAAATAATTTCTTATTTAGGACTCCTCCATAATTTATAGTGTTATAAATTCATATGGCCCATTGCCCTGGCCGGTTTGGCTCAGCAGTTAGAGCGTTGGCCACGGACCAATGAGTCTCAGGTTCCATTCCGGTCAAGTACCTCGGTTGCGGTTCGTCCCGCTGGCCAGTCAGGTCGTGGAGGAGGCAACCAGTTGATGTGGCTCTATCACATGAACGTTTCTCTCTGTCTTTCTCTCTCTCTCCCTCTCACTCTATCTAATGATAAATAGAAAAATATTCTTGGGTAGGAATAAAAAAATAAAAATAAAAAAGAAATCATATGGCTCATCCATCTCAAGTTTCAATTTACTTGATTAATCATCTTGATTTTTCTAACT